ACTATTGGCAAGGGTGGCAGGGTTGTAATTGGCCCTATGCCACAAACATACGAGGTTTGTAGAATGAAGCCTCATACCACCATTCTTTTAGTTAGTACTTTACGGGTTTATAAGCAACACTTTTGTGCTTGGGCTGCAATAATAGTACTCTCCAGAGCTGTAGTGTCCCACTGGGATCTTTTCCAGACAATTGTAGTATATGCGGCTGACCAAGCTGCAAGCCCATGATGTCCATGTATAGCGTCCATAGTGGTGTTTGTATGGTCTTCACGTTTGTCAGTCATTATTAGTACCAATGATGTTACAAGAGATTGACCATGCATCTTTTAGGCATCCACCGTTCTCAATAAAAGATACAACGTTTTTTAAATTCACGTCTGCTTTGCCTGTAATTCTTAACTACTCAGCTTTCCATGTACATTGTATTTTTCCAAAATATAACTTGCATTATTACAAATCTCTGCAACAACACAAAAGTTATCTGTGCAGACTGCCAAATATTCAGCAGAGAAAGCAAACTAAAACTAACATTAATAATGAATAAAGCTTGGTCGGAGACAGCAAAAGGGGGGACATTTAAATTTTTCTGGGATAGAGATATAGCCAGGTCACAGGAGTATTTTATATTTTAGGGTACATTTTGACCAGGTAAGTAATTGAACACAGGAACTTATAGAAGGTGCTCATAATATCTCTCAACACAACATTTGCAAAACATGAGCTTGTTGGTTTGTACCCAAGAGAAGCGGCAAAAGAGAATCAAACCACAATGGCAAAAAGGTCTAGAATCAAGAGAGTTTTGCGCAGCTGAAAAGCATGTATTCATTTGCACTATACAAGTGTTAAATGTATTCAAATAACATGTTTGTTTAATTACCTCTTTACCATTTTGCAGCATTAGACAAATACCATGGTTGCAGAAATTCTGTCTCCTGTCATAATGTCACTTATAGAAGAATTTGCATATCGCAAAGCCAACTGCAAAAACATAGATTAAAATGTCTAACAAAACAGCAAGGAAAGGTATGGAGCCCGCCTGACCTTTCTCTCACCCTAAGTGGCTCTAAATAAATTCCCATAGTGGAATAGAAGTAGCTACACATCCAACCATCCACTATAATAACAGACAATCTAAATCACTGATATTTAAGAGTGTGCATTTACTTCATTAAATTATCAAGAATTTCTACAGAAATAATGTACATACACATATTCAGGTAGATAGCAGCTTTGAGGTGATATTGTATACAACGATTTTAAGCTCCTAGCTCAGAAAATAGGTATTTATTACTAATAATACTATCCATTTTGTTCGGAAGAAGGAGGAATAAACAAATTAAAAATATTTTTTATACTAACACCTCAACTAGTGTCTATAGCTTTAAACAATTTCTGGAGAACCATCTACTCAGAAAAGCCTATCAATCTCTGTCTGGCTTCCACCTTCACTATTCCATCTCTGCAAATAATTCCCTATTATGAGCTTGTTTTGGAAGACTAACTTTTCAAAATCTCTTTTAGAACTAATTGGCACAGACCTTCTTGAACCCAAACACATCCAAGCTAACTTAAAGTGTCATTGTAGAAAATCAATGCGAGTAGATTGGATTGGAAAAAAGTAACTCATAAATATGCAAATATATTTTGTTTTTCATTTTGGATTTATTAATTAAGAGAGAGTTTTTCAAAGTGATAAAACATAATTCCAGACGCTAGAGCAGATTAAAGGACCACTCTAGGCACCCAGACCACTTCAGCTTAATGAAGTGGTCTGGGTGCCAGGTCCTTCTAGGGTTAACCCATTTTTTCATAATTATAGCAGTTTCAGAGAAACTGCTATAATTATGAATGGGTTAAGCCTTCCCCAGCCTCTAGTGGCTGTCTCATTGACAGCCACTGGAGGTGCTTTGCGCGTTTCTCACCGTGAAAATCACAGTGAGAGAGCCAGCGTCCATAGGAAAGCATTGTAAATGCTTTCCTATGAGACCGCTGAATGCGCTGCAGCTTTTGCCGCGGCGCATTCACGGGCGGGGCTTAACGGAGGAGGAGAGGAGGAGAGAGCTCCCCGCCCAGCGCTGGAAAAAGGTAAGTTTTAACCCCTTTCCCCTTCCAGAGCCGGGCGGGAGGGGGTCCCTGAGGGTGGGGGCACCCTCAGGGCACTATAGTGCCAGGAAAACGAGTATGTTTTCCTGGCACTATAGTGGTCCTTTAAGAAACACATTGCCAAAAACACCCACCTACAGGTTTCTGTTGAACTCAAAGACCAAAACGCAAGAAACCTATTAAAAAAAAAAAAAAAAAGACAAATGGTAAACATAAAAGGATATGTTAACATATGTATAGAAAATTAGGTAAATGTTCAAACTTAAAGGGACACTATAGTCACCAGAACAACTACAGCTTAATGTAATTGTTCTGGTGAGTATAATTATTGCCTTCAGGCATTTTCATGCAAACACTGCCTTTTTTAGAGAAAAGGCAGTGTTTACATTGCCCCTAAGCACACCTCCTACTGTCAACTCCTCAGATGGCCACTGGATGTGCTTCCTGGCTCAGTGCTGCACAGTAGGCAGCACTGCCGTTCAGCGTCTCCGTGCTCTGACTGGGGACACTGAATTTTCCTCATAAAACGCA